CGAGTGGTGAGTTAGGGAGCATTGTTCCTGCCCGGCTCCGCCCGCCAACACCGCCTCAAGCTGCGTCAGGACAACACAATGTGGGCGACTGCGGGCCAAGAAACAGGACCCAGAAGAAAAATACTGGAAATTCCCTGCTCCCCGCATAGAGGAGCCTTGCTAGGAAATCAGCAGCCAGGGAGAGAGAGGTCGCTGCCCGCAGGCGCAGGCGGGGCCGGAGTGAAAGGAAGTCGAGGGCGATATTTTGAGGTATTTTCAGTCTGGTGCAGCCGCTGATTTTCCAAAACACGAGGGCCTCCCGCAGGGGGAGGGGAGAAGGAGGCTGTAGGGGCCGGACCAGGACATAAACAGAGGCTGACCCACTTGGAGAGCAGCTGGGGTCTCAGGCTGATCTAGAGCCCTTCCTTCCCGTGGGAGAGTTACACAGAAAACCTGCAAAGTAGGCAGATTCTGCCTGCTTACTTCTCCTGCTGGGCAGCTCATCCCACATCTGCACAGCAAGTTGGGAGAGAAATGAACAGTGTTTATGGAGGAGATACAGGGTGGAAGAAAACAGACCAGAACCGCCCCAAGGAGCTGATGTACCAGGAAGAGGACACAGACTGTGCACCAGCGGAATATACCTGTCACCCAGTACTGGGAGGCAGAGGCAGAGGCAGAGGCAGGAGGATCACAAGTTCAAGCCAAGTAATTTAGCAAGACCCTGTTTCTAAGAAACAGGAAACAAAAGAGAAAGGATAAAAAGGGGTAGGGGTGTAGCTCAGAGGCCCCGGTTCTGCGTATCATATGGAAACACCAAGCACCTGAAGAAATAAAGTTGGGGGTGTGTTGAGGGTGTTTGGGTGCAGTTCTACAGAGTCGGGTGACAGGGATGCTCTCTCCTTGCTTTCAGATGGAACCTACTCTCTGGGGAGTCTGGCAGTCCTGCTTTGCCCTCTGTGCCCGTGTGCTACCTGCTTTCATAGCTGGGGATGACCCTGCCCCACAAAGCAGGCTAGCTCCTACCAGAAGTGACTGCAGCTTTCTGGCCCTCTCCTGCTGGGAGCTGACCACCTGCCTGAGACCAGCAGGGCTTGTAAACCTCCACCTCCAGGAATGTCCTCCAGGGTCCCTTCCAGCTGTCACCTGCCACGGAGCTCACCAGCTTCTGATGTTGTGAATGGTCCCAGTGCCTGGTCCCCCTCGTGGTCCCCTCCACCCTGGGCCAAGCACTTGAATCTGCATTTATTCCTATCGCTTCATCTTGCAGCTGGTAGACGTCATTCTAGTACAAAGACAAATCTTACGTGAGACAGAGTTAATATCCTCCACTCACAAAGAGCGCTGAAAAAGTGATAAGAAAAAATACAGAACAAAAATAAAGGAAGGACCCTCAGCAGAGATGAAAAATTGATAAGAAAAAATGCAAAGCAAAATTAAAGGAAGGACCCTTGGCAGAGACTCCACTGAGCAATCATAGACAGAAATGCAAATCAACAAACAAATGACAGCAGTCCTGGGCAGGCATGGAAATGCAAATTAAAAGAACAATGAAATGCCCTTTTTTTCCTCCCATCAGATTGGGAAAATTATTAAATATTGATGACACCCGGGGCCAGCAAACCATGTTGATACTGTGGGTGGGTGCTGGTGTGACTGCATGCCTGCTGGGACTCAGGGCTGTATTAAAGTTTAAATCACACTGCCTTTGATCCACTACTCCACTTTGGGGAGGTGAGGATCTTGGCTGCAACAAAACTAAGTGACACAAGGGAGCAAGCTGGGCAGCGGGGCCAGGAGTGCACAAGTGATAGAAAATTGCTGGGCAGCCATGCATATCCATGAAGCCACAGAGTGGCCCTGGTGGCATCAGGGACAAATGACCAGACATACACCAAGCCGCAAGGCCCATAGACCCCTGACTCAGGTTTGCAAGAGCAGAGAGCAGGAACAAGCAACCTCTGCCCCCACAGGAAGAGGCTTCGAGGAGCCAGGCCAGAGCTGGGTCACCCCTGCTTGTTCTGCTTTCCCGTTTTTGCAGCCCAGCTAATTTCAGGAGAAGCTCTTCTTTCACAAAAGCCTTTTTGTTGGTTGGGGCAATGATTCTACCTCAACGTGGTCCTGATACAATGACATATCCAAATCACCTAGGTCCTTAAATATGATAGCGCCGTGCCTCCTCATAACATCTTGTCTTTTTGTTTTTCCAGTCTAACATACGGGCATTCATCAATAATAAAGTTGTCCTGGCTAAAACACCTGGCACTAGCTTCTACATGGGCATCAACGGTCATCCTGTCGACTCTCCTAAAACCCAGTACAGCGCCCCCTTCCAGCAAGAAGCAGTAAAAGAAAGCAAAACTTCACCCTTTTTCCTAATAATTGGGCTTGGGATTTAGCTCAGTGGCATAAGCACCTGCCTTGCAAGCAAGCGGTCGTGAGTTCAATCCCCGGTACCAATTAAAAAAAAAAAAAAAAAAAAACAAAAGACGGGACTGAAAGGATTTTTGCCCAAGGCTGGACACTGTAGCTGGGAGGAGGTTGGGAGGCGGAACCAAGGGGCTCTATTTTCCCCGCCCCTAGGAATTTACCTGTGGTGCAAAATGAATACCAATGGGCTACCTGTGCATCACTAATGCCCCTTAGGCTCCACCCCAAATCTAAGTACCACATGTATGCCCCCACTCCACATATCCCTTGGAGACGATGCCAGACCCTGGACGGTTGGGGGGGTCTCTCTCCCCACATTTTTAAAATAAAGGTCATTTATATTTCATACTTCTTATCTTTTCAGCTGTGCCAAAATTCTATCATATGGTTCCCTGACCGGGAATCCAATTCTATCAGTTGTTTTTGGTCTCACTATGTAGTTCAGGCTTCAACTCGCTGTGTAGCCCAGGTTGGCCTTTAACTTTCAATGATCCTCCTACCTCAGCTTTTCAAGTGTTGGGATTACAGGTGACAGATAGGCCTGCCACACCACCACAACACACAGAAGCAGGAATCAACTGAGTACCAAGCTGGGCCAGGTTCCCATGGGGCTTCCCAGGCCTCCCAAGGGATATTCCAGGGCAAGACCCCTGTTTGCGCCCACTAGAGAAGCCAGTGTTCATTGTACCATAAGAGTTTTCCCTGTCTCAGCTGCCTGCATCTTTCTCTCCTACACCCATCCTCCATGTTCAGTGTATGGTGCTGCTTGTTGAAATTGCAGGAGGAACCAGTTAGTTTGCAAGCTTGGTCAGGGGTGTGAGGTACAGGGCCTGGCCCAAGGCAGCCACGGTCTCCACCCCACAGTGTCCAGGTGACTTGCTGGGCATGGATATCAGACCAGCAATTCACAGAATCTTGTGTGCACTGGAGACCCTGGGAGCTGAGTCAGGTCAGGTGGGGTCAGACCTGGACTCCTTGGGTCTGAGAAACCCTGCAGAAGTCACTGCTGCAGATCCTGAGGCCACAGTCAAGGACAGGGCCCTCTTCACAGCCAGACCAAAGCACTAGACCCAGCTGCATGCCTATGTACCAGCCTTTCTGCAAACCAGTGCCATCTGTACCTATTTCAGAGCTGCATTCTGGGGCAGCTGGTAACATCACTGTCCTTGCCTAAAGGACTCTGGGGGCCCCTCTGTCCCTTACTAGTTGCACGTTGTCCCTGTTACTGGCCCACAGGCTCCCATCCCCATGGGTGTTGCCCAGTTGCCCCAGGCCCCTTCCTGGAGCTGCAGCCCCTCTCCATGGTGGCCCTGCAGCTCCTCACACCCCTGACTGGCAGCTGGAAGCACATGGTAGTCATTGAAGGGTCAATGGACCAGGGTTAGTGGAAGCAGAGCCCAACAGCTCCTCAGTCTGCCAGCACCCATCCTGCCTTTGGCACCAGAAGCTCTGCATGCAGAAGCCCCTCTGCCTGGCTTGTCACATGCAGCAGGAAGGGACATCACTGGTGGCTTTCTCAGGTGGGGGAGAGGAGCCCAGGCTGCCCATGAAGGAGAGTAGATATGGAGCCCCTGAACTGGAGCCTGGAGAGATAGCCCACCGGTGCTGTCCTGAGCAGCCCTGCCCTCAGGCCTCAGGGTCCCACTCTGGGTAGGCCTTGCAGCTCCAGCAAGAAGCCCAGATGTCTGTGAAGCACGTAGTCCTCCATGAGGTACCTCCGGGCTCCAGAGAGAGGAGCAAGGGGCAGGGCCTCCAGAAGTCTCTTTTGGGCTTGCAACGACCGGCACAGTAGGCCTGCTGTTCCTGTCAGTGCAGGCAGGGAAACTGAGGTTGAGCAAGAAGTAGCAGCCCTCCCAGAGTGGGGCGTGGGACCTGGGCACTAACCAACTGAGGGCACATGAATGGCCTTGCTCCCTCTCTCTATCCCCTCCTTCTGGCCCCTCTCACCCACCCACTACAGGGGCTTGGATAAGCACAGCTTCATGAATCTGCGGGGGAGCTGCAAGGCTGGGGCCAGAGGCTGAGCCTCTCCAGGCCTTGTAGCAGCTCCTCCAGGAAGCACTGTGTGAGATCAAGGATCCAACATCTGGAGCCAACATCTGCAAGGCCCTAGGAGCCCGGCGCACCCAGCTTCCAGCTGGAATTGCTTTCCATTCCTACGACAACACAACACAGTTGAAATCATAAAACGTGGGAATAACCCAAACTCTCCGCCAGGGGCGTCACGAGGCCACCACGTGTGCAGGCATCAGCGGGTCACCACTGCTATGGCAGGGTCTGGTGCGGAGAGAGACAAACTGGCTGGAGAAGGAACAGGGTCCAGGCTGAGGCCAGCGTGCTGCATTGCTGGCTTCAGGGACCAGAAAGGTCTAGTGGCCAAAGTACATGGATACACACACTGGGAAGATGTCTGATCCCCTCGTGTCGTACTCTGCTTCTGTCTGTGGGTCTGGGCATCGAGTTCTGGCTGCACAGATGGCTCCTCAGCCAAGCATCTGCAAGGTGGCACTGAGACCAACAGGAGTGTGGGGACTGGAGGGGCTGTCCAGGATTCCAAGGGCATCAAGGCTCCAGTACAGTGCCAGTTTGGGTTGAGTAAAACAAGCGACAGTCCTTTATTTTCCATGAACCTACACGTCTCATCTGCCCAAAGACAATAGCGGGGGAACAGTTCAAGTTTCAGGACTGAGTGGTCAATCAGAAAGTTCCAATCCTTTGGAGAAAAAGGAAAACATGTTTTGTTGTCCCCTGACCGTGCGATGGAAAAACATCAAATGGCCAAGGGAAAGTCACCCCACGCTTTCCTCAGCGGAGCCCAGGCCCTCAGCATGCGGTGCTGTTTGGAAGTTGAGAGCCGAGTGAGGAAAACATGTTTTTCTTCGCGGGACATGTGTGGAACGCTTGGGATCAACAGTTGGAAAACTGGGAGAATAAACTCTGGCTGAGGTAAACACTCTCCTTGCTGGGGTCAAGAAAAGGAAGGCTGGGTCTGGGTCGGTGAGGAAGTGCAGCAGACACACAGGACGTGGGCTTTAGGAGCCTCTGGCTGCAGGAGCTTTCCCAAGCCTCAGTTTACCCATCTGCATCTCCACCTCAGAGTAGCAGCGCACGTGCTGTTTCATCCATGCAGTGTAGCACCCGCCTTGTGCTGGGCTGGGACCAGCACTGGGACTGGTGCAGTGACACTGTGGCCACATGCTGGGCACCTGGCTTCTCCTGTCCCCAGCTCACACCATCTGGAAAGTCTCACGCTGCTGTTCTACTCTATGTGGTCCCCAAGTTTCTCAGTTGGGTGAAGAACCAGACCACAGATGCCCCTACCCAAACAGACGGGTCTGGTCCGGAAGCCCTGGCCCCAGAAGGTGCTGGTGAGCAGGGTTCCCTGGCTGCTGGGGAGGAGCCAGGCTGTGGGGCTACTGCCAGTCCACACAGTGGAGCACGGGGTGCTGAGGCTGGGCGCCCATCTGGGGTGCCCAGGACCTGACAGCCCCTGCTCCCGCCCAATGCTGCTATGCTACTGTGGAGGCCAAACTGTCTCTGTCTCAGGAAACCTCTGAGTTGAGACTGAAGGAGCAGTCACAGCAGACCCGGATCCCATCTTCCCCATCACCAGCCATGGTCTGCAGCCAGTCTCTGGGCTTCTGTGTCCTTGTCTGTGAAAAGATGATCCCAGCACTCAGGAAGCTGAGGCAGAAGGATCACTGTGAGTGGGAGGCAAGCCTGGGCTACAGAATGAGACCTTGCCTCAAAATAGATGAATTAACTACTTAATTAAAATAGAGACTTGACACCACTATCAGCTCCCACTTTGGGGGTGGGACACTGCCAGTCCACAGTGGAGCACGGGGTGTTGAGGCTGGGCCTACAGCTGGAGGCAAATCCCTCTAGGCTTTTGGGTCGATCTGGCCTGGGACACAAACCTCTCCTGCTGGAGGACACCTTCCTGGTTGCTGCCTGCACTGGGTCGGATATGTCAATGACCCTCATGGTAGCATCAAGCCTCCCCAAGCAGGCTGCAGTTTGTCCTCCAAGGGGAGAGGATGGCCTAGGAGGGAAGGACTGTCCAAGGCTCTGTCCATCCCCAGCTCACATGGTAGGAAGCCAATTGGGGTTCCTGCTGGCCTTGGTAGCCCTTGTGCCTGGCCCTCCTCCCTGACTCCTAAGCTGACAAGGAGCAGGCTGCTCCCACAGGATGTGCTGGGTGCCACTGGCCACCTTTTCTAGAGGGATGGAGCACCATGGCAGTGAGGTGGGTGGGCCAGCTGGATGCGTTTCTCTGGGTGGCTGGGCTTGGTGGGAAGGGGACAGCAAGGGACAGTGCTGTGACGGGGGTCACACTTTCCTTAGCATTCTCTGTGTGCATGCCTGGCTGCACAGGCACCATTAAGTTAATTAATAAGGTCTGCAGAGACCAGGCTCTAGCAGGAAAATAAATTAATGCTCCCGTCTCAAGCTACCATTCTCCTGGTGCCTGGGAAGGTGACATTGCCACCTCTCTGCAGAGCCAGCCTGCATGCCTTCTTCCTGGGAACCCCCAGCAGGACACCAGGCACCTGGGGAAGGGATCACCAGTGTTCTCATTCTCGGCCCTCTTGATGGCCCCTACTGAGACTCCTGACCTCCCCACAGCCCCCTCCTTTTAACAGGGCCATGAGCCTGGACCCCATTTCTCTGAAGGAAGACTCCAGGCTCTACCAGGACTCACCTCATCTCACCCAACCCAACTCTGCTGGTGGGAAGCTCGGGTCCCCACACCTCTGCGCTGACCATGATACCCCACAAGTTCACCTTGAGCCTCTCATTCCTGGTTGTACAGAGGCTCTGGGAGATATCAGAGAAGGCAGGAACCTTGGGGCATGCAGTGCACCCCTTGGAGCCTCAGTTTACTCATCCATAACATGGGAGTGATGTAGTCAACACACATACCAGCCCAGCAGTTCTTGGGGATGGAACCTGCCTGTTGTAGGTTGAGTCCAAAGGTCCTCAGACCCAACCCCAGCTGGGCAAGCCTGGGGGAGATCCTAGGTCCCCTGTGGGCATTTGCCTTTGGAGGGAACCCTGGGACTGATTGGCCTTAAGTGGCACGGTTTTGTTCAGCCTTCTGCCCCCTGAGATGTACAACCTCTGCCAAAGCAACCTCCAGGCCAGAGTCTTTGTCCCTCAGGCTTGCAGAAGAACTCACACAACAGCCAGAGACACAGTGGCTCTGCCTCAGCGTGAGCAGTTAGTCTTTGGATCCAGTCCTCAGCTAACTCCCCTGACGCCTTGGGTCCCATGGCAAGGTGAGGAAGTTTGGTGACCACCTGGCGCAGGTCACAGCAGCTGCTGTTGATGGGCTCTGGGGGTGTTGGGGTCTTAGGCCACGGAATGCAGGCTCTACTTCAGACCAACAGGCCCATGGCCAATGCAGTCTGAAAATACTATGTGGGAAATTACAGACAATTGAGGCATGTTTTAGATAACTTTTACCGCAGTATATTGTCACAGCCACTCTTATGATTATTGGTGCTAATCTCTCACCAGGCTTCATTTACATGTTACACTGTATTCTAGGTGTGTGTGGGTAGGGAGAGATGCATCAAGTGTCTAAGGCTTGGTGTTGAGGGTGTCATGGAAAGGGACTCAGCGGTAGTGGCAAGGAAGACAGTCTGGCCATGGGCTGGAATAGTAGGCTCAAAGGCCCTGGGGCTGGAAGAAGCAAGGCTCTAAGGCTCGCAGAGGGAGAAGCTGGTATGGTAAACCCAGGGTTGGGGAAGAGACAGTGGCAAAGCAATGTGGAGGCGGGCGCTGAGGGGACCCAGGGGCCACAGGAGGGACAGCAGAAAAGGTCCCCTTTTCAGAGCAACACAGAGCTGTAGTGCTTGCTGCCTCCAGCTGGGACTGTGTCCCCAACACAGCCTCGGGGCATCACTAGTGAAGGGAAGGTTGGGCTCCTGAGGCTGCCAGCATCCAGCATCAGGCACAGGGCCTCCCGCTCCTTGGCCCCCATCACCACAGCCCAGGGCTGCCTCTCCCTGCGTTTGGCCTTTGCAGGTTTCACACCAGGTGAGGTCCCCAGAAAGACACCTCTCGTGTCCTGAGACTCTGCTGACCGAAGCCCAGCAGGGCATATTGGGAGGGAGGCAGGGCCAGCCTGAACCCAGAGCCTCACACCCCGTGGCCTGGGGCTGCAGTCCCCTACCACCCCACTCCTATCCTCACTCCTTCCGTTAGCTGTCCCAAGGATTGCAGCCTTCTCGGCCATAAGGTCTGCCTGGGGACAGAGTTTTGTCAGTGTCTGTGTACCCCAGGCCTAGGCTGTGGGGAACAGACCAGCAATGTTCCAGGGTACCCACACAGTGCCTTGCACACCTTTGCTCCCCTGGCGCAGAGACAGATGCCTGGCCCCAGGCCTAGCTGTCCTATGGTGGCCCTCGGCTTCCTGTGTGGCCAGCCCTCAGCCCAGAGTCTTCTCCATGTTTCACTCAGCTAATGGGGGGAGCTCAGGGCAAGTCACCTGCCCAGTGCCATACCAGAAGAGGCTGGCCAGTGGCCACGCCAGCCAGGCCCGCCCTGGGAAGGGTTAATGCAGCCCCTTTGTCCCACAGTTGCCATGGGGATAGTTCCTGTCCTCCAGGAAGCAGGAGAGCAGTTTCCTGTTTTGGAGGAGGCTCAGGGCAGTTTTCCTCCCACCACCCGCCCACCCAAGAGGGCAGGAAGCCAGCCAGGCCCCTGCTGCTGGGTGTGTGTTGGACCAGCCTGGGCCTCGAAGAGAGCTGGCCTCGGGTGCGGCCAGCGGCCACCAGCCCGACGGGCGAGGGAAAAGTGCCTGGCGGAAGAGGGTGGCCGCTTCCTCCTAGACCTTGACCCCACCCAATGATAACCAGGCGGCCCTGCCCAGGCCCCCACCCTTCCTTGGGGAGCCAGTGGAGGCCCTGCCCACCATCCTTGCCCTCCCACCCCGGCCCATGGGCCCCTTTCCACCCACCCAGCCTACAGCCTAGCCAGCTCTGAAAGGTCAACGAGCAAAGCCTGCCTCCTCCAGGAAGCCCTCCAGCATACATGGCTAAGTTCAGGCCTGATCTTCCATGGCTCTGCCTCTGCCTTTGCCTCATAGGTTGCCTCTAAGCTTGACCCGACCTCTCACCAAGTGGTGTCACCACACCATTCCCTCCCCACAGACAGCCCCCGGCTCCCATTCCCAGCAGGACGAGGTTCACGCTCAGGCCAGTGGCCAATGGCTCAGTTTCTCTTATACATGCTCCTGGCCTGCCCACAGCACAGTTCTCTCGGCACCCCCGTGTGCCACCTTGTGCTTCTCCAGGCCTCACCTCAGGCTCGTCCCTTCCTTGCTGCTTCCCTGGGAAGCCCAGTGCCTGAGCTCCACGCAGCCCCACTCCCCACCTGGTGCCATGTAAGTCACTGGCCCTCAGCCCCTATTTCTGACACCACCATGAGCTCTTGAGGGACAGCAGAGTGCAGCAGACAAGTGTCCCATTCATCTGTCCCCATTTCAAGTGATCTCTTACCCCCAACACAGAGAAGACAGAGGGTGACATGTACAACGATGTCCTGAGACCCCAGAGACAGCTTTCTACTCCTCTCTGGGCTCAGAGGAGCATAAATTGAGGGTCCACCACCCACTTCTGCTGAAATCCCCAGCCCTGTGTAGCCCAGGAAGCCAGCACTGGCCTGGGGCTGACAGTGCCACAGCTGTAACTCTTGGGCTGGGATTTCCTTTGTCACAGCCTGATGTGTCCTCAGTGATGGAAAGCAGTCCTCACAGAACAGAAACACAGAAACACAGGACCTGTTGGAGAGAAAGACACTAAGGGAGGAGGGCTCTGTCTTTGAGGGAAAAGAGCTTAATTTGGTCACCTCCTTCCCAGCAGGACAGAGAACCACCTGGCCAGGCCCACTGTTCCACTGGGCTCCCACACAGTGCCTGCTCTGCCCATGGTGTGGGCCAGTGCCTGACAAGTGTGCCTTTTCAACCTCCTCCTTGGACTGCGAGAGCATGGATCCTGGGTGCTGGAGAGCTCAGATTGCAGTGTTTATTGAGCACTGACTATGTGCTCTTGTAACCAGTGAGCATTAAGTCAGCACTTGATAGGAGTCAGGGGACTGAAGTGAGAGGAAAGCCGCCAGAGACTCAGGTCACATGCCGGCACCTCTGGAACTGTGTCCTGGGCAGGGGCTGTACCTCCATTTTAGGAAAAACAAAGCAACAAGAATCTCAACCCAGCGCCATCCCTCGCACTGGCACATCCTTCAGCCTAGCAAGTGCAGACCTGCACTTCGCCAAGGGTCCTGCATGCCATCTTCCCCTGGCCTCAAATCCCACCTTCCACAGTGGGGGAGGGGCCGCGCCGCCACAGGCCTCCTCCCGTCCTAGTCTCCACCACTCACTGGTGGCTTAGCCCCAGTGGAACCCCTGAGCCACCCTCACCACCCTGCCTGAGGCCCAGGTGGCTGGGTTCACCTAAATCTCAGGCATAAGCTCACTGTTTCCAGAAAGATTACTCTTTGCATTAAATTGCTACACTTAGCTATTTGTGCCCACATCCAAACACAGACACCTCCCCACCATCACCCTGTTCTCTCTTTCTCCCTCCTTCCTTCCCTCCCTCTGTTTCACTTCAACCACTTCTACTCTTTTTGTTACCAACCATCTTCATCGCCTGGTGCAGCCCCACCATTACCGCCACCTCCATCACCTGGCACGATTCTACTATCACCTCCACGGTGTGGAGCAACTCTGCCATGACCACCATCTTCATCAGCACCACCTCCATCACCTTGGCCATCGGGTCACTGAACTGTACCCTCCCTACCACTTCCACTCCTCCACCGTCTCCTCACACCAACTCCTTCACCTCTCCCAAGTCTATCATCTCCACCTCATCAATCACTTCTTTGACCTCCAGCTCTTTATCTGGACCAAGTACAATACATCCTTCACCTCCACCATCTCCATACCCTCCACCTCCCCCATTTCTAGTACTGTCTCTGCCTCCTTTGCCCCGTACCACTTCTCCTGTCTTCCCCTCCAGACCACATCTGTCAGTCCTATCACAGCACGTGAACAGGACCACAAAGCTAAGAGGCTACCTAACACAAGACCCAGCCACAGATTATTCTTTTACTCCAGAGCCACACATAATCCTTCACAAAAAGCTGGAGGATGGTGACTCTGAAGTGGCTTCAAGCTGGAGAGGTCACCAGAAGGGATCAAATTTACAGTGACATTACAGTTGGAGAAACTGAGGTGCACCTTGGATTGATTGCACCAGAATCCTCAGGCTCTTCCAACACCTTCCTTTGCACCCCTCACCTGGGTAGCCTCTCCTCTGGGTCTGTCATCCTGGCAGGACTATGCCTGGGCTCCTTGAGGACAGGTGTCTGATGTGAGTCACAGTGGCGCCCAGCACCTGGCCCTACCTGAGGACTGGTCCAGTGCCCAGTGTCACTGCCCAGCGACAGCTTCCTTCACCAGGTTTCTGTCAGGACCAGAATCTGCGAATGGCTCTGTCTCTTGGGTCTGCTCCCTGGGGCTGGCACCAGCCTGCTGCTCCTGTGTGCCCAGCACCCTCCACCCTGCACAGGACCAGGGAGAGCCTTAGCCAGGGTGGATATTATGTCCTTACTGCAGGAGTATATCTACCCAGTCAGGGACTGGAGATACTGGGCCAGTGGACCAGAAGGTCCCCGCATTCTTGCCAAGTCCTCCAGGCTCCGAGGTCCCCAAGGGCCAGATCTCTTCCAATGCACACAGGACGCAGTCACCCTCACCTGCTCCAATCCTGAGGGTGCAAGAGTAAGAGAAAAACCAAAAAACCCTGCCAGGAGGAAAAGTCGGGGAGGGGGTGTGCACTCAGGCGGGAGGATCCGCCCGGGTCTCTACCACACACACCCCTCCTGAGTCCTGAGTCTCCAGCACGCCGCCCCCCGCCCAACCCCCTTCTACATCTACCCGGGGCTCCCCTCCCGACCCCCTCCACCCACATCGCCCCGCCCCGGGCTGCCCTGCCCCGCCCCGCCCCGCCCCGCGTCTCCACCGCCTGCCGGGTCCACGCGCTCAGGGTGGGGCGGGGCGAGAGGGCGGTGCTGGACTCACTAGGACCCCTGCTCACCAGGGTCGCGGCTGCAGCGGCAGGAAGATGAACGGCGCAGGTAGGGACAGCACGATCGGTCCGGGTCCCCACCTGCTGGGTGGGGCATCCCCAGGGCTGAGACGAGGTCCCAGGCGCGCCCCTCCCTCACCCCGTCGTACCCTGGGGTCCCCGAGGCTTTCCTACCCTTTCGCTCCCAGCTCCAGGATCCAAGGTCTGAGCATTGGGTGGGCATAAAAGCCCCAGGGTACTCCCGCTCACGCCCCTGTCGCGCACGGGGATCTCACACCCGGATCCCGCACAGAGCTCGGATGTCCAGGGGACACCATGTCCTTACTGTAAGAGTGCATCCACCTCGCAGGCCAGCGCGATTCCCGGAATTGGGGTGCGGTTCTTGGAATCGGGGTGCGCCGAGCAGTCTGGCCCCCCAGGAGTGCAGTGTAGACGACTTAGAAAGTGAGGCTCTGGGAACCGCCCTGCCCCTGCCCCTGTCCCTCACCCCAGCGCCAGGGGCTAGAAAGTTCCCTTAGCTGGCAGTGTGCGGGGCAACCGCCAGCGCCGTCCCCATCGTGTCATTTTCTCCTGGAATTTAGTGCCTCCTCGACTCCAGGGTCACCCTCCAAACACATCCCGAAAGAGACAGGAAACCACCATCTTGGCTGTCCTGGGACCATATCCTGCTGGGCCCTGTGTGTGTGTGTGTGTGTGTGTGTGTGTGTGTGTGTGTGTGTGGTGGGTGTTTTCTTTTTAGAATTTGTTTTAGTGAAAACAAGTCATTGTCTCAGGGGGAGGCGAAGCAGGACTCTGGGGCTAGAAATCTGACAAAGGATGAGTGCCCAGCCTGGTGTAGACTGGGGGTCGGGTGTGTGGGTCATGGGTGGGGCAGCAATAAGGTGCCCCTTTGTGGACCAGGGTCTCAGCACTCGCCAGCCCTGCTCAGGGAAGGTTGTCTCCTGCCTTGTGGCACTGCCTAGACAGCCCAGGAGCCTTTGCTTCTAATATAACCGCCTGATAACAATGGCGAGCCTTTTTGCGCTCCCAGGGCTTCCTGCCTGTGGCTTGGCCTGCAAGACCTGGGACCAGGGAGTCCTGGGGTCCTGGCAGGTTTAGTTCCAGGCAGCCTCACGCATCAGGCTCAAGGGTACAGGGTCCTGCATTTGGCCCCAGCACAAGCCAGACTCCTTTTTAAGACTTATGGGTGCCATGCCCCAAACTTTCTGGTGGTGCGATTCAGTGGTTTGCAGACTCCATGGTGTGAGTCTCCGAGCCACCGTGCAAACAGGTACAAGACTTTGAGCATGTTGCCTAACTGCTGTGCCTCAGGTTTTGTTTTTTTTTTTTTTTTTTTTTTTATCTGAAAAATGAGGATCCCTGTCAGTGAGCTCTCATGACAAAGCAGCAGGATGCACTCTGGGTGCCTAGGCCTGTGCCCATCACCAGCAGCAAGCCAGGATTTATCTGATCCTAGAAGCCCATTAGGTGCTGCTACCAAGTGTCCTGTTAACATCCACTCATTGGGGTGCAGTCAGATGGTGCCTTCGTTAGTTTTCTCATTGCTGAAACAAAATACTCGACATCCCAAGTTAAAGGCAGAGAGGTTATTTGGCTCACAGTGTGTAGAGGGTTCAGTTCATAGTTGGCTGCCTGCAAAGCAGGGTGGCACGGCAGAAGAGCATTGCAGGGCAGGCAGGCAGAAGGCATCGAGTAGGAAGCTACAAGTGGCAAGTGACAGGCTCTCTTTCTGTGCCTTATATTTTATCCAGGCTACTCTTGCTTAGAGAAAGTAGTGCTCATACTCAGGGTGGGGCACCCTGAATCTTCCAAAGCTATGCTAAATCCATTAGAGGACAGATTCAGTAATCAGGCATCCTTGAGTCCAACATCACATACTGTGGATTCAGCCCCCTGCCAAAAGCTCCATTTATGACCACATGAGGGTTTGGGGGGACATCTAGATACAAGCCATAACAGATGGGGAGGTGAGGACTGTCACTGTGCCATTCTACACCTGTTTTTTATTATGTTTGCTTGTTTGTTTTTTAAAGAGAGGATCTCGCTATATAGTTCAGACTGGCCTTGAACTCACTATGTAGCCCAGGCTGGCCTCAAACTCACCATGATCCTCCTGCTTCAGCTTCCCAAGGTGTGCACCACTCTGTAATACTGTTTTTATGTTTGGTGGCCCAGGAGTGTGTGCGACAGGCCAGAGTGCATAGTAGGCACACAGGAAATACTGGCTAGTTGACGTTGTTAGGCATTTGCTGTCTATTTCCTCTGGACTTTTCATTGCTTCTGTGAAAAAGGGAGCATTGCGTGTATTTCACCAAAAAGGACACTGAGGCTCCCACAGGCAGCGTGAGGTGCCTGGATCACATAGCCAGCATGTGGCAGGCAGGCTCAGTGCCTGGGCCCTGCTGAGTCAACCGGGCTTGCCATGCTGCTCACCTGCTTCCCCACAGTGCCCCATCGTGGGTTGTGGGAGTCACCAGGCGCTGTCCCCCACGTGCTGGGAGTGGCAGGTGAAACTGGAAGATGATTACTTGTGTGGCGTATGGATGGCAGAGTGGGGTGTGGGCACGCTGTGAGCAGCAGCTGAAAGACTCAGGACGTCTCGAGAAGACCTGAGAGTCTAAAGGGTGTCGTCAGCCACTGCAGAGCCGACTATGTGACCCGTCATGCTGCAGATAGGGAGACTGAGGTTCTGAGAGGGAAGGGACTTGCTCGAGGACACACTCCAGCCAAAGACAGAGCCAGGAGGAACACTTAAGACTCCGGACTCCCAGTCCAGGGATCCCCAAAACTCTATCTGATGAGCTTTTGGAGCAGTGAAGAAATGTGTGAGTGACAGCCATCTAATTAAAGTAGGGACAGTGGTAGAGAGCAGGCAGGACGCTGTCTCTCACCAGGGGCCATTAGAAAGGTCTTCCTCTCACCACCAGAGCTCCTGGGGTTGAAGGGTGCTGCCGTCTGAGTCACCCCACGTGTAGCACGTTGCCAGGAAGTTCTGGATGTAGACACTTAGAGTACGCGTGGCAACCTCGGTGAGGAAAGAAGCATACACCACAACCAAAGTTCCACAGAGCACAGGGTCCTAGCCCTGCGCTGTTGGGCTAAGCTGAATCCTGTGTGGCTGTCACCACTGGCCCCTGAGGCCTAGCTAATGGGCTTGAGGGCCTCTGCATGTGGCATCCCCCAACCCTGGGGACACTGCCCAGCCTCTGACATTTGGAGACTCCTTTTTCATCAGTCTGGTTCCTTCTGGGGTGGCTGAGAGGAGCAGGGCTGGAAGCAGTTACCTGCTTTCTCTCTGTTTTTCCTGTACCTGAGCCAGGGCTGCCGGCTCCCTTCCCCACTGTCTGTCTTCTCCATAAGTGTGGGCTGTGCTGATCCAGCCCTGGGTGCACATTGGGCCAGAATCCAGGGCCACTGCCATTTGCTCCTTCAACTCGGGCCAGTGGCTGTCCCATGTGCCCTATACCCAAAGTCACCTTGTCAGTGTCCTCCATCCCCCACCTGGTCGTAGCCCTGTCACTTCCTAGGGCTCATGTGACAGCCCTTGCCTCCTTGCTCACTATGTAGTGATTTTGGGGTATAGCCAAAGTCCTGTTTGAGCTTCCCATGCTGCATCATTCTGGGGTTCCCACTCGCACTCTCCAAACCCCATTCCTCCCTCCTTGCTGGTCTCAGCCCCCTTGGATGCTCGGTGTCCTGGCTTTCCTCACTCTCACCTTCCACCAGTCCCCTCTAAGTGAGGTCTTCCCAATCACGCTGTTGACAGTCACACCCTGTCCCTTCCAAGCCCCTCATCATCTGGCATGATAGTGATTGACCAACCACATGGCCTTCCCGCAAGATCTTGATTTCACCTTGATAACCCAGGGAGCCCTGGGGAGGGTCTGGTACATAGTAGGAGATCAATCTGTATTTCTTTGTTTCTTTTCTTTCCTTTTCTTTTTGGTGGGGGAGGTGTTTGAGACAGGGTTTCTCTATGTCGTCCAGGCTGGACTTGAGTTCACTGGGCAGCCCAGGCTAGCCTTGAACTCCTGGCAATCCTCCTGCCTCATCCTCCCATAGGTTACAAGCGTACGTTGATCTGCACTTTTTTCACTGGCGTTGGGCTGAAGGAAACTGAGGGGAAACGTGTCAGATCAGTTACTTGCTCTGCAGCCTTTAGGTGCCCTGAGCCGTGGACCTGGCCATATGCTTCTCCTTGCTGTCCATTCTGGCTTCTCTGGTCTGTTCCTTGTCTGCCTCACTAGACAGCAGGATGAGTCTGTACATAGAGGAGGTGTCTAGGACAGAGAGATGGAAGAGGATTGCAATTGGGCCAGGAAGCAGGGATCCTAATCCAAACCTGTGTGACCCCATGCTGCCCCTAACCACCCCCCACCGGTCTTCCCACCTCTGTTTCCCTTGACCTCTGGGATCTAGAACTGGATGTGGTGGACATCAACTGCTGTAGTCCTTGCATTCCTGAAGGATCTGCCTGGACACCCGCTGTCCCCTGACAGTGCCCAGATTGGTCACTTGACTATGAAGGATGGGCAGAGGGGTGCTGAGCAGATGGGTGATGGTCATTTTTCATGTCCCGTTGGTTCCTTGGCCATATCCTGTGATGCCCGTGTGAAACACCACCTGTGAAGGTGAGGAATGAGGGTCCGCAGCCCTGAGAATAATCTCACAGCCTCTACTGCCCATCCAGTGTGGGCAATGGGGCTTCAGAGCGGTGGTGTTTCTGTGTGCTGAGTGATAGTGTAGACAGAGGCAGCTTTTTGGAGTGGCAGAAGTTACTACCTGTTCATTGATGAGCTGGTCTTCTCTGAGCATCTCTGGTTCAGCATCTTCATTTATTTACTTCTGAGTTAGGGTCTCACTATGTACCCAGACTGGCCTTGCCTTCACAGTGATCCTCCTGCCTCAGCCTCCTGAATGCTGGGATCACAGGCATGTGTTACCACACCTGGTTGGCACCTTTAATATGTGCCCTTTTATCTGCATAACAAACAGTGGCAGGGAACTGCCGTATTGCGCTCATTATACCGATGGGGAAATCAAAGCTCAGGTCCATAGCGTCCAATAAAGTGGCTCAGCCCCCTAAGGCCTACTCTGCTCCTCCACATAAGGCACCTTCCTCAAACTCCAAATGTTCATGATGCTGCACAGATGTTATTTTGACTGACATGGAGACAGAGCTGGATGGGCTCGACTCTCGTGCAGACTCCTGGCTGACATCTGGATGTAGACAGGCCTGGGCCCGCTCCCATGGCAGGTATCAGGCAGCTAGAAGTCCGCTCATCTTTGCTTCAGTGTCTTCAGAGCTGGGTCGCTCCTTCTCCCTGCTGTCAGGCCCCACAGGCTGACCAGTATTGCTGGAGTCCCTGGCAAATGGCCAGTCCAAGCGGGACGTGCTGCTAATGTCCTAACCAAGGGCCATGAAATGCCTCATTAATCAGTGTGGGTGCAGATGATAGGCACCTCTCAACTCCAAAAGGTGAGAGCCCTGTAAACTCATTGAGAGCTTGAAATACCACATGTCAAGAAGGCACTTCACATGCCTGACCTGCAGAGCCCAGCCCTGGAACATGCTCAAAAAATCCCCATTCCCATACGTCTGGGCAAAATCACCTAACATGAAACCCATTTCTAAAATAAAGCGTGGAACATAGCATAGAATTCCACACCAGAGTGCAAAACAGAATGGATATGTGTATGTTTTTGCACCATCATAAAGCAAAAAATACTAAGTTGAGTCAGGTGTGCACAGTTTTCCCCTGTCATCTCAGCACTGGGAGGCTGAGGTGAGGACCCTTCCCACTCCTAGAGCCTCCAGTCACAACGCTGGGTGTCACCTGCACTCCATCCTCTCCTCTGCTGTGATTCATGACCCACCGGGAAGGGGCATCTTGGGCCTTTCCACGTTGACTGTTGCCACTTCTCTCTTCCAGAATAGCTGCATGCTTGTGCCATAAATGCAGGTGTGTTAGGGGACACTGGCCTGGAAGCTTAAGATCCCCAGGTGTGGCCCCACAGGACTGGTCTCTACCCCATCTCCACTTGCAGGGACATATACCCACACTGGATGAGCTGTCATGGGTATCTGTGACTGCAAAGGCAGTGACAGATCTCTACTATCAAGGGCTACAGGGGTGGTCTCAGGTCTCAGACTGTGTTAATTAGGCTCTGTGGAGGAGCAAGTTTCACCTCTTGGTTTTTACCAGCCAACTGGGATGGGACACTACGTCTGCACACTTGGTTTGTTGAATGACTTTAGGAGTTAGGAGAAGCTAAGTATCTTGATTACTTTTCTCTTGTTGCTGAGAGAAAATACCCAATGCCCAAAATTAAGGGAAGAAAGGTTTGTTTAGTTCATAGCTTAAGGAGGTTTCAGTCCATACTCATCTGGCTCCAAGATAGGGTGACATGGCAGATTATGACAGTAGAAGACAGCAAAAGCAGCAAGAGCAAAAAGGCACAAGAGAGCAGAAGTATAGGAGAGAGAAGACACTTTCTGTGCCTTATATTGTATTAAGGCTACCCACACTAAGGTGGGTGTAGCACTCATACCCATAATCCCAGCACTAGACAGTGAATCAGTGACAAATTAGATTCACCTGCCTCTGAAAAGCATCCCTCCAATGACTGCATGAGGTTTTGGGGGGACATCCAGACACAAACTATAACACTAAGCTTGAGACAAAATGTGAATGATGGGTCGTAGGGTTCAGCATAGCCAAAACTGGCAGCAGGGACTCTGAGTGGAGATCGGGCTCATTAGGTATCTCTTTTTCTGTTCTCTGCAGATTCCCCCAAGCCTCCTGTTGCTCCCAAGCCTAAGACAACTGCTTTCAAGTTCCCTGCCTCTCCCAGGGCTGAGGGTCCGCACAGCCCCAGCCCTATGTCCCGGGGCCCTAAGCCACCCCTGGCACCAAAGCCCAGGCTGGCAGGCCCTGCAGGGTGCAGACCTGGGGCACACGTGAACCACCAGCTCTTCAAGTGCAGCAACGGCCAGCTGCCATGCGGGGCCAGGGACTCCCCTAACCCTGAATGCTCTGGATCCGAGACAGATGAAGACATTTTCACGGGCCCCTGGGCTGCACCAGAAGAGGATACAGCCAAGGACATGGGCAGCGCTGGGGAGGAAGCCTGTGTGGATGGAGGCATTGAGGAAGCAGGGGACACTCAGGACCTGATACTGCCTGCCGGAGAGGAAGGCCCTGAAGATGAGCAGGAGGAGGAGGATGGCAGCCATGGCTCAGGGACAGGGGAGCTGCTTCCCGTGGGTGAGGAAGAGGAGGAGCCAGGGGGAAGACCTGGCCCATGTGACCTAGAGGACAGCCAGCATGAAGCCTCCTGGACCCACGAGGTTCCCCGTGAAGAGCCTGGGCTGCCTGGGGACACTACAGAAGTAGAAGAGGATGGTGAGGAGGGCCATTGCCATTCAGAGCCAGACAGTGGACAGGAGGTAGGCAAGGCCAGTGAGGAGCCCGCCTCTTTTGAGGAGCCCGAGTGCAAGGAGCCTTCGTGTGAGGATGAGGAAACCCCTGAATATGAGGGTGAGGAGCCCCCTGAGCATAAAGAGCCCCTTGAGTATGAGGAGCCCTCCAGGTGTGAGGAGCTCCCTGAGGATGAAGAGTCCCTCAAGTGTATGGAGCCCCCCAGGTGTGAGGAGTTGACACCCTGTGCCCAGGAGTCCGTACCAGTCCCAGAGTGCTTTGGCAGTCCTCAAGAGCAGAGCATGGACATACAGCCTGACCAGGATGAGCCATCTGAGCCCGATGGGAAGGACACCCAGGATGGGAGAGGCCCTGGAGCTGCTGAGGACCTTATGCCAACTGAGCCCCCTGAGGAAAGCTGCCAGATCATCCCTTTTGAGAGCAGCAGTGTGGAGGACCTGGTGGTGGCCCTTGAGGGGAGTGCCTATGAACTCTTCCCCAGTGAGAGCACCTCCTTCTGTGGTGATAGCTGTGCCCCTGTCATGCTTGCAGGCAGCATGGAATCAGAACCAGGCCCCAAATGGGATGTGCCCAGCACAGGGACTGCAGGTGACAAGAAAGCTGAAGCTGGGGCGGCACCCCCTGTCCCTAACGTGGTTGTCCTACCAGAGGATGAGGGTACCACAGATGTGGCTTGCAATGACCCCTGCATGACAGAGTCAAAGGAAGACACAGCCTGTGACACTGAGGGCGGCCTGGTGCCTGGGGACAAGAGGAACGTTGTCCCCTGGGCCTGGCCCCACTCTGGGAAGGTAGCTGGCTGTGTCCCAGAGACCGTCCCTGAAGAGTCTGGCCCTGAAGCTGGGTCCTCGGCTGTGGGCATCGCCAAGGAGGCAGGGAGGCCGGTGTTGCCCCTCGAGGCTGGCTGGGCCCTGCATCCACGCTCCTTCTCCGTGGAGGGCCGTGAGCCACCGGGAGTTGCAAACCGGGAACCCCAGGGCACTGGCCTGGACCTGCACCGCATGAAGAGGAAAGAAGACAACCTGTCGCTGCCCTGTGTGATCGGCTCGTCTGGCAGCTTTTCCCAGAGCAAGCACCTGCCATCCAGTGGCACTTCGACGCCCTGCTCACTGGTGGACATCCCACCACCATTCGACCTGGCCTGTGTCACCAAGAGGCCAGTCACCAAGAGCTTCCCATCGCTGCTGCTGGACAGTGAGGCCCCAGACAAGACCACCAAGAAGAAGAAGTCATCCTTTAAGCGCTTCCTGGCACTGACCTTCCGGAGGAAGACAGACAGCAAGGCGCATGTGGACACTGGCCTGGCCTCCTCCCGGTCCTCATCTGAGTCCAGCTACCATGGGCCCTGCCGCCTCCTGGATGGGGACCGGCGGAGCCTAGGCAGCTCCCCGCAGCTCAGGGCCCAGGTCGGGAAGCCGAGGGCTCCTGAGTCTCCCGCTTCGCTGCTCTTCTCCAAGGATGGCAGGAGGAGGGGTGTCCCCTTCAGTAGGACAGTCTCCAGGGTGGAGTCCTTTGAAGACCGCTCACGGCCACCTTTCCTGCCACTGCCACTGACCAAGCCACGCTCCATCTCCTTCCCCAATGCTGACACGTCCGACTATGAGAACATCCCTGCCCTGAGCTCCGACTATGAGAACATTCAGCTTCCACCTCGAAGGCCGGCCAGGCCTGGCACATTCACCAAGCTCTTCGAGGAGCAGAGCCGGGCTCTGTCTGCCGCCAACGAGAATGATGGCTACGTGGACATGAGCAGCTTCAGTGCTTTTGACAGCAGGGTGCAGAGCACGGAGCCTGAAGCCGAGAGGTATGTCCTTCTACCTATTACACATGATCCAGGGATGCTGGCGTGCAGGGCATGGTGGTATGGTACATGGGTCTTTCTCTCCTTGAGCCTTATTTATGATGCATGTTGGGCCAGAGTAGATTTTCTATGTGAAAACGGCATATACAAATGCTATATTTGGTGCAAACATGATTTTTTGTCATTTCTTGAGTCAAGGTCTCACTACGTAGTCCAAGCTGTCCTTGTATTCATGTGTACTTGTATTGATCCTTCTGCCCCAGCCTTCCAGGTACCCAGATGACAGGCAGGTGGCACCTAACTGGCTGCAGATGAAGTTTTCAGGGCTATACCTCACATAGATGCTTGGCTCTTTTTCTCTGGCAAAGTGCCTGAGAAAGTGTTCTGGAATCCTGCCAAAGTAGACACATCTTCCCTCAAGAATTGCCCCAGGTTGAGCATGACACCTTCTGTTGTGTCACACACAACCATGTGCTGAAGGGAGATGCAGAGGGCCTCAGAAATGGGCCCTGGGAGCTTTGAGAACTGACCCAGCTGCTTGTGGAAAGGTTTGCTGCAGAGGTACAGGACAGACTAGGTACTGTGCCGATTGTAGGCTTGGGAATTGAGCTCAAAGCTCAACCTGGACTTTCAAGCTCTCTGGAGAACCTGCCCTGGGCAGAGCCAGCAGGAGCCACAGAGTGATGAGGAGCTCATCCAGATGCCTGTGGACTCCCCAGCTCTGCACGTGTGCTGCTGTGACTGCAGTGTAGACGCAGGTGGGGTTGGCTGGGTCCATCTACCTGCCCAAGTCCAGGCAGGGGCACTAGCTGCTCTGCCTGAGTTGAAAAGTAGAGCAAAAGAGATGCCAGCCCCACCTGGGCTTGTGCAACCAGGAGCTGTGGACTTGGGCACGCTGTGGGGCAGGAGCCACTGCACTAGGGATGCCAGCAGTGGCTGAAAAGACCTTTGCTGGTGGCCCCTGGGCCAGTGTTTGGCATTCCTAAGCCACAGACTCAGTGTGAGGCCCACACCATCCCCTATGATGCCCCCCCCAACATGCTGCTTCTTCCCTCTCATCCTCTGGATAATGAACAACCTTGAAAAGGAGGAGTTGGGTACTGTAGAATCACAGGACTTCACGGCTGAAGGGAGTGTCTGGCATCATTTAGTCTTCCTATGGAGGAGGAAACTGAGGCACAGGGAGAGTTAGGAATCAGACTTCCTGGTTCTTCATTAACAAATTTGCAGTGAGTTACATCGAAGAATGCCAGGTCTGGGTTGTACAGGCTGTGCACTACACCGCCCAAGGGCAACTCTTTCCATCCGTATCTCTGTCACTTTCCCGTTACTGGAACAGAACACCTGACACCCATGGTCTAGAGGAGCAAGTTATTTGGATTCATGGATGCAGTGTGTTCTGTTCATCATCAGGCAAGAACAGCACGGTGGAGGAAAGCTGCTTGCGTCATGGCAGCCAGGAAGCAGAATGAAGGAGAGGCACCTGGGAGGAGAGGGTCATGCCTCTGGGACCACCTGGGAGTAGGACAGTCAGCTGCAAAAGTGTGAGTGCATGTGCTCAGCTGTGAGCTGTCTTGCATTCCCTCATAGCTGAGGACTCGGTGCCGTACTGCAATCAGGAATGGTGGTGCACACTCAGCACTCTGGGAGGCTGAGACAGGAGGTTGAGTTCTAGCCCAGCCTGGGAAACTTAATGAGTGAGACCCTGTCAAAATAAAAAATAAAAAAGGACTGTAGTTAGCTCAGTGCAAAGGCCTTGGGCTCAGTCCAAGTGCTGGAAAAAAAATTAAGCCAGCACCCCGATTGCACTCCCAGGAGGTTTTGTCAAGTAGCAGGCTGACTGGGAAAGACCTGTAGGAGCTGAGTCCTGGCACAGCAGCTGGGACCAAGTGTCCTTCCACTCGCAGGCCCAGGGGAAGGAAGTCCCCGCCTCACTGGCTGGAGCAGGTCTGGACAGGGAGCTGTGGCTGGGGCCTTCATGCCCATGCACATGTGACAGTGAGATTGAGGCTGCACCCATGGGTGCCTGAGCGGGTGGGCGTGGTTCCTTTCTCTTGCCTGCCTCCTCAGAGGGTCAGAGGGTCGGGCAGACTCCAAAGTCAACCTCAGCAGCCCTGGAGCCAGAGCCTATGTCTCATGCATGCTGGGGACCTTGGGCAGAGCTGGCAGCATCTGCTCCTCTATGAAACACATGGTGGCCTGTGAGTCCCCATGCCCCATCCCTGTCACACTCCTTGGGTATCTTTCTTTAGGTATCTTTCTTTTCTTAAAAGCACATGAAGGAAACTTGGGTTCATATGGGAAAATGGAAAATGGTCAGTTCCATGAACAGACTCACTTGGGAAAATAAAATACAGAGAAAAATGGAACAGTGGGAGCAGCAGGTTTGGGGTGAGCAGTGCCAGCTGTCTCGTGATCAGAGGCTTCAGTGATGTCCAGCTTCCCTGGATTTTTGATTAACTCCATCAGAGGGCTCCTGGAGGAGTAGGGATGTTTAAAACCAATTTCCTTCCCATGGAAGGGTCATCTCTCACAGAACAGAACCACAGAGCCCAAGAGCCCTTAGTGACCTCTACACAGAGATGGGCAGCTTAGGGGCTAATAAACTCAGTTTCCTTTCAGTGGTTACTTCCTTCCAGATGTGTGTACACAAGCAGGAGCATTTTAGTAGCTACAATAATACTACCAATCTTTTCTTTTAAAAATTAAAAGATGTTGCGCACCTGTCATCCTAGTATTCAACAGGCTGAAGCAGGAGGACCTCCATAAGTTCAAGGCCAGCCTGGGCTCCATAGTGAGTTTAATACCAACCTGCATTACATAACAAGACTACCTCAAAAAAAAAAAAATGGGGCTGGGGATTTAGCTCAGCGGCATAATCGCCTGCCTGGCAAGTGTGAGGTCATGAATTCAATCCCCAGTACCAAAAAAAAAAAGTATAAATTTGTACTTATGTGTATTTTATGTGGTATACAAAAACCAAAAAAGATTTTGTCTTTTTTTTAGTTTAAAATGCGGCCTCAAAAACTCTTGTTTTCCTCAAGTTGACCTTTATGCAAAAAAAAGAAAGAAAGAAAAAGAAAGTTTTTGGTGGAAATCTAGCTGAGCATCCTCACTTTGTACACAGGAGCTAAGTGCCTCACGTGGAGAAGGGTTGGTCTTTGCTCCAAGTGTCCTGGGACCCGGCAGGCTGGCTGCCTGCTGGAAGCCAGAGAAGAACTTGACTTGGTCAGTGCCCACAGGTCATGTGGCCTGGGCACCATGCACGGAGTGCTAATACTTAGGTCTTCCAGATGCCATTGGAGCCTCCCCGACCTTTCCATCCTGCAACCAGCCAGCCTGGTGACCAGCAGGGGACCCCCATGCCACCCATTGCTTTGTTCTGAACTCTCAGATGCCCTGGGAACTGCAGAGCCTCCAGTGATGCCCCCACTGCCATTAATGCTTGTCATCCTAATATGTGCGCACGTGTGACCTGGGTGCTTGTGGCCAGGTGCAGAGGCCTGGGACATTGAGTGCCTCTCCGTGCGTGCCTTTGTGTCACCACAGATACTCGGTGGTAACAGTCATCCTGACCCGTGTTGTTGAGAGGTGAGCCTGGCACATGAGAGGTGTCTGTGAGCAGTGGCTGTGAGCAGTGGTTGGGGTCAGGGTGCGATTGAGGTCACAGGGTGCAGTTTGATTCCAGGGATGCAGTCTGGGAGGGAGAATGTGGCCCCTTGCACTTTGGAGATGTCTATCAGTCTCTGTCTTTGTCTCTCTGTCTCTCTCTCTCTCTTTCTCTATTTCTGTCTCTGTGTCTGCATCTCTGTCTTATTCTGTCTTTGTCGCTTTGTGTCCTCTCTGCATTGATGTCTGTGTCTCTTGGTCTCTGTTTCTGTCTGTCTCTGTCTCTGTTTTTTGTCTCTATCGCTCATTCTCTGTGTATATATCTCTCTGTCTTTGTCTGTCTCTCTGTCTTCCTCTCTGCCTCTGTTTTAGACTCTCTCTCTCTCTATTTGTGTCTTTGTCTGTGACCATATCCAGTGAGTGATTAAGCTAGAACCCAAGCCCAGCTGCCTCTTGGTCTAGCTCAGTCGCTCTGACACTCTGTTCCATGGCTGGGGATACCCCATTATGTGGATATCTCCCTGGCAGGGGAGCACAGTGCCCCAGTATGATAGCTTGGTCTGAGGGCTTGAAGGAACGCCGGAGGGTGCCATCGATCAACCTCAGGAAACAATGTGTTTTCTGAAGCCATTGCCTGTGTAGACAGTAAGACCCTATCTTCTTGGTAAACGTTAGACATGGCAGCAGGAAACGCACATTGCCATGGAAGGAGTGACCTGCAGCTAGAGCGAGAGCTTCCATGCTCACACGCAGGGCCCCGCCAGTTCCCCTCCAGCCTGTTGCCCCAGGCTGTATCTCCTGTATCTAAGTCAAAGCACCAGAGTGAGGTCTCTGTCTGCAGCAGCCCTGAGCTGTCCTGTTATTATTACGTTTGTGACAAATGAAGTTCCGCAGAGCTCTCATTAAACCTCTCAGAAAGGACCCGGAGCCACCCTACAGATGATTGCGATCTCAGCAGTGTCACCCTGGACGCGTGCGACTGTGCGTCTTGTTGAAATTGACTGATGAGGAAATTCGGTTTTTAATTTTCTCACTTAAAATAGGACCATCTGCAGCTGTTTCTCTTAGCAATAATTTTTAATTAAATGCAATAAAATGCGTGAGGAAGGACCCTAATAAGAAACTGTCTCAGGAACACTCGCTGTTTCACCTCCTGCCAGCGCGGCAGGGAGACCTCCAACCAGTTTGTTTTCCTTTTAAGTCACAGAGCTATGAGGGAACAGAGGAACCCCAATGAACAGTTCACCATGCGAGGTTTTACCTCCACAGACTCGGGGCTCCTGTGGGAGGTAAGGAGAACACTCGCTGATAGAAGGAGACCTGGCTGAAGGTCCTCAGGGACACTTGGGAACACGCCAAGGGGCGGGCGGCCGTTGTTCCTTTGAGGAGAGGTC